GAGGCAGGAGAATTGCCTGAACCCAGGAGGCAGAGGTTGCGGTAAACCGAGATCGCGCCATTGCACTCCAGCCTGGGTAACAAGAGCGAAACTCCATCTCAAAAAAAAAAATATTGTATAAAATTACCTTCAGCCTATGTGTATAAGATATATATGAAATATAAGTGAATTTTGTGTATAAATTTGGGTCCTATCCCTAAGATATATAATTAGGTTTATGTAGGTATTTCCAAATGTGAAAATATTCAAAATCCAAAATACTTCTCGTCCCAATAAGGGCTGTTCAACCTATATAAATCTTGGGAATTGATTTGAATTATACTTGGAGGTATAATCTAGAAAGCCACTCTTAGCAAATGTTTTAGACTGAAATTTCCAAAGCTTGTATTCAAAGAATAGCTCTCAATATATTTTTTCTTGGTGGTAACATGAAGTGGGCTTGCTGAAGGCTGAGTTAACTGTCAGTCTTCTCTTTTCTTATTTTATTACTTCTTGTTATCCAAAAACAAAAAATAGAAACACTAAAATTAGGCCACGCGTGATGGCTCATGGCTAATAATGCCAGCACTTTGGGAGCTGAGGTGGGCAGATGCTTTGAGGTCAGGAGTTCGAGACCAGCCTGGCCAACATGGTGAAATCCCTTCTCTACTAAAAATATAAAAATTAGCTGGGCATGATGGCATATGCTCGTAGTCCCAGCTGCTTGGGAGGCTGAAGCAGAATTTCTTGAACCTGGAGGCAGAGGCTGCAGTGAGTTGAGATCGTGCCACTCTACTGCAGCCTGGGCAATGGGAGTGAGACTCCATCTCAAAAAAAAGAAAGAAAGAAATACCATAATTAAACAATTAAGTAGAAAGTATAGTGGTCACCTACTTCAGGACTCTCATTGTAGGGCAATATTGCTAATCGTGTAATCTACATACTTTTTTGTTTGTTTGTTTTGTTTTGACATGGAGTCTTGCTCTGTCATCAGGCTAGAGTGCAGTGATACAGTCTCGGCTCACTGCAACCTCCACCTCCTGGATTCAAGCAATTCCCTTGTCTTAGCCTCCTCAGTAGCTGGGACTACAGGTGTGTGCCACCACCCCCAGCTAGTTTTTTGTATTTTAATAGAGACGGGGTTTCACCATGTTGGCCAGGATGATCTTGATCTCCTGACCTCATGAGCTACCGCGCTGTCAGTGTCATCTACTACTTTCTCCAGGTATTTCCTATAGCAAAGAAATCCTTATGACTAGTGTGTTGTAATAAGAAATACATATTTGGACTTCATCCTTGGTTTCTAGCATAGTTCTTTTTTTTTTCTAAAACATTATTTTGTTATACATTAATAATACTATATTGTTATGTATATAAGTCATAAAGTAATTGGAATATTTAGAGGAGCAAAATCAAGAAAACTCCAGCAATCCTAAATCCTATCACCCAGTGTCTAGCATAGTTCTTTTTTTTTTTTTTTTTTTTTGCCAGAGTCTTGCTCTGTCGCCAGGCTGGAGTGCAGTGGTGCGATCCCAACTCACTGCAACTTCTGTTTTCCCCTTTGAAGCAATTCTCCTGCCTCAGCCTCCCGAGTAGCTGGGACAACAGGCACTCACCACCACGCCCGGCTTTTTGTACTTTTAGTACTTTTAGCAGAGACGAGGTTTCACCATGTTGGCCAGGATGGTCTTGATCTCTTGAGCTCGTGATCCACCCACCTCGACTCGACCTCCCAAAGTGTTGGGATTACAGGCATGAGCCACTGCGCCCGGCTAGCATAGTTCTTTTGAAAAACCTTGCAATTTCCTGAGTGACAGGAGTGAAAGGAATATTTTGTTGTTCATAGCAAGCTCCATTCAACCATACCTGAGTTTATGCTAATGAGGTGACTCTTGGTGGGGCCTCTAGATAGCTTCAGAATGGGAGGCGAGACTGGTTGCTAGAGGAATCAGCCATGTATTTTTAGAGGACTGGAATATTCACTGACCTCCTATTCTTGACCTCTGGGAAGGAGAAAAGGGCTGGAGATTTTGTTCCAGTCACTAGTGGCCAGTGATTTAATTAATCATGCCTACCTAATGTGCTCTCCATAAAAACCCTGAAGGGTTTTTATGAGAGCTTCCAGGTGGGTGAACGAACACATATAGATACTGAGAGGGTAACACACCCCAAGAGAGCATGGAAGTGCTATGCCCTTCTCTCAGACTTTGCCCTATGCATCTTTTCCATTTGGTTGTTCCTGAGTTGTAACCTTTATAATAGCCCATAATAATAAAATGCTTTCCTAAGTTCTGTGAGCCACTTTAGAAAATTATTGAACAGAACTAGGGGGCATGAAAAATCCCAGATTATATCTGGTTGTTCAGATAGTACGGAATCATGACTAGGACTTCCAACTGGCATCCAAAGTAGTAGGGGCAGTCCTGTGGGACAAACTGGTCTCTGTTAACTCCTTGTAGTTAGTTTCAGAATTAAATTATCGGCCAGGTGTGGTGGCATGCACTTGTAGTCCCAGTGAGACCCTGTCTTAAAAAAAATAATAAGCCGGGCGCGGTGGCTCAAGCCTGTAATCCCAGCACTTTGGGAGGCCGAGGCGGGTGGATCACGACGTCAAGAGATTGAGACCATCCTGGTCAACATGGTGAAACCCCGTCTCTACTAAAAATACAAAAAATTAGCTGGGCATGATGGTGCGTGCCTGTAATCCCAGCTACTCAGGAGGCTGAGGCAGGAGAATTGCCTGAACCCAGGAGGCGGAGGTTGCGGTGAGCCGAGATCGAGCCATTGCACTCCAGCCTGGGTAACATGAGTGAAACTCCGTCTCAAAAAAAAAAAAAATAATAATAATAATAATAAAATTTTGAAAAGATAAGTTGTCGGACACCCAGAGAATTGGAGAATTAGGAAAACCTACACATTTGGTGTTGGAAGTGTGCAAGTGTAGAAAAACAGTTTTTTTTCCCTTTAACTGGTTATATTAGTCCCATTTGTAGCTGTTCTGTGTCACTGTATGAATGGGGTAGAATATAATTTTAGTGGAATTTTGGTGGAAAATTCCTACCCTTTGTATTGTTGACTAAGAGCATAAAAATAAATTTTATTTCTGAATTTTGATCCATATTTATGATGGTAAATCAAGTCAATATTTTGTTGTACATTCAGCTAGAGAATTCAGAGATCTCTAGGACTTATTTTTTTAAGACAACTATAATTTTCATAGGTATGGATATTATTTTTCAATGTAAGGAATTCATATGTTACATTATTTCTCTTTCAGGGTAATAGATGGTCTGGAAACTCTAGATGAGTTGGAGAAGTTGCCAGTAAATGAGAAGACGTATCGACCTCTTAATGATGTACACATTAAGGACATAACTATTCATGCCAACCCATTTGCTCAGTAGCTGTAATAGACCTGGACACGTAACTTGACAAACTGCTGGAACACACTTATTGTGGTTTACCCGGTTTTAATTATGTCAGAGATTGCATCATCCTTCTGCTTGTTCACAACTATGATCTTCTATGAAATGGTGGTACCAACGGGCGCCCAACAGCTTTTATCCCCATTCTTAGAGCATATTCTTTACTATGATTATCCAAAATGTTTTAGTTTTAATACAGAAAATATATTGTTTAATTTTTGTTACATATAAAGATTCATTTTTAAATGCTGAGCCTTAAATGCAGGCATTTTTGAACAGCCTGATACATAGCATAGTTCTTTTGAAAAACCTTGCAGTTTCCTGAGTGAAGGAGTGAAAGGAATATTTTGTTGTTCATAACAAGCTCCTTTCAACCATACCTGAGTTTATGCTAATGAGGTGAATCTTGGTGGGGCCTCTAGATAGCTTCAGAATGGGGGGGGGGACTGGTTGCTAGAGGAATCAGCCATATATTTTTAGAGGACTGGAACATTCACTGACCTTCTCACTGACCTCCTATTCTTGACCTCCGGGAAGGAGAGAAGGGCCAGAGATTTTGTTCCAGTCTGATACATACGCCTACCATAGCAAGTCCATATCCTAGAAGTGTTATTTTATAATAAAATTAAAAAATGTTTTAAGGAATTAAGTTGTGGGACAAATTAATTTAAAATATTGACCTCTGGGGAGGAGAAAGGGCCGGAGATTTTGTTCCAGCCTGACACGTACTCCTACCACAGCAAGTCCGTATCCTGGAAGTGTTATTTTATAACAAAATAAAAAATGTTTTAAGGAATTAAGTTGTAGGACAAATTAATTTAAAATATTGTGTAAAATTACCTTCAGGCTATGAAGGTAATTTACTTTCAGAAGGTATATATGAAATGTAAATGAACTTCATGTTTAAATCTGGGTCTCATCCCCAAGATATCTTATTTGTATATGCAAGTATTCCCAAATCTGAAAATTTGGGTATTCCTAAAACCAATACTAATGGTAAGAGCTCTACCAGTAATTTTTCAATTTTATACAGTTAGGAAGAGTAGGAACAGGATAAAAAGATAGTCTAGAAAGGCCAGCCAATCATCCATTTGCTATTTTCTGTGATCTTTAGGTTTACAGTAAAGGCTCTAAGAAGTCCTGGAATAGGGCTGGGCGTGGTGACTCACGCCTGTAATCCTAACACTTTGGGAGGCGGAGGTGGGTGGATCACCTGAGGTCAGGAGTTCAAAACCAATTTGGCCATCATGGTGAAACCCCATCTTTAAAAAACAAACAAAAAATACAATGAATTAGTTAAAGGCAGTGGTTGTGGAGTCCCGGTCTGTGTTCGAATCACAGCTGTGTCCCTTACTGTTAACTTTAGGCAAGTTAACATCTCTAAGTTTTAGTATTTTCATCCATAAATAATACATCATAAGACAATTGTGAGAGTGAAATGAAATGTGTGTAAAGCTGGCATGTATGTAGTAAGTAAATGGAAGCCACTCTCCTAACATTCATGTCCACCACAGGGCTCTCACCTCATCAAGCCATTTATTGGGTTCTGCCATTCATTTCATCAAGACCATATTCTGTTCACTGCCTAGATCAAAGTGGTTGGATTGGGGTGGCATCAGTTTTTGGTTTGTCTCATGTCTTCCATGGCTGATCTAATCAATGTTTTGATTCTTTCTTGACTAGTTCGGAGTTAGCTTATAGCTATTCTCTTGTTACCATTTATACTTTCCACTAAACTGAGGTGCTTTTACTAGCAGAAAATCTATATCCGTACAGGTCTGCAGCAACCTCAATTCTTGCCTCCTCAGAAGAAATAATTCGACTAAGGGGCGTAAGGCAGGAGAGACTGAGTCATGTTTTAAAGCAAGAGTGAAAGTTTGTTAAAAAGCTTTAAAGGAGGAATGCAAGGAAGGAAAGTACACACTTGGAAGAGGACTAACTGGGTGACTTGAAAGACGAGTGTGTGGCTTGAGCTTTTGACTTGGGTTTTTATACATTGGCAAGTATAAAGAAGTAATGGAGCCCTGCATTACTTCTCCCCACTCGCACTCCTGAGATCTTACTGGGAAGCTGCTGATCATCAGTTTCAGGTGTTTTCCATTAGGAGACTGATTTTTTCCCTGGTGCCAGCTGTGAGCAATTATTACTTTAGCAAGACAGTTATAACTACCTGACCATCTCATTTGATGGTCGCACAACACTCCTAATATGTGTTTGGGGGGAGCTATCTCCTGGCCTGCTTATACCTGACTAGCTACCTACTACAACAGTGCCAGTTATACTAAAGACTTTACATTGTGTTTCATCTTTTAAATTTAATCACTTAGGTTTCTAGAAGTAGCATTAAGGCCTTTCTTTGGCCAGACCTTGTTTTGCCACTTTTTATTTATTTATTTATTTTGAGTTGGAGTCTTACTCCATAGTCCAGGTTGGAGTGCAGTGGCGTGATCCTGGCTCACTGCAACCTCTGCCTCCCAGGTCCCAGTTCAAGTAATTCTTCAGCCTCAGCTCCAGAGTAGCTGGGATTTACAGGCACACACCACCATGCCCAGCTAATTTTTTTGTATTTTTAGTACAGACAGGGTTTCACCATGTTGGCCAGGCTGATCTTGAACTCCTGACCTTGTGATCCACCTGCCTTGGCCTCCCAAAATGCTGAGATTACAGGTGCTTCGGGAGGCCAAGGCAGGTGCCTGGCCTGCCACTTTTAAAATAGAGATGGGGTCTCACTATGTTGCCCAGGCTGGTCTCCAACTCTTGGACTCAAGATTGATTCTCCTGCCTGAGCCTCCCAAAGTGCTGGGATTACAGGTGTGAGGCACCTCTCTGGCCTTGCCACTTCTTATACTTTGTACATTTCTTCCCCAAACATGTCATTTAAAGTTTTGTGGTTACTTTTAAGTAACATGACTGTTAGGATGTTTTGTACTTAGTGGTATTCCTCCAAGTTTTATTCTAAACTCTGCCACTTTTTTTTTTTTTTTTTTTTTTTGAGCTAGTTTTGTTCTTGTCACCCAGGCTGGAGTGCAATGGCACAATTTCGGCTCACTGCAAACTCTGCCTCCCGGGTTCAAGTGATTCTCCTGCCTCCGCCTCCCGAGTAGCTGTGATTACAGGTGCCAGCCACCACACCTGGCTAATTTTTGTATTTTTAGTAGAGATGGGGTTTCATCATGTTGGCCAGGCTGGTCTCGAACTCCTGACCTAGTGATCCACCCGCCTCAGCCTCCCGAAGTGTTGGGATTACAGGCGTCAGCCACTGCGCCTGTCCAACTCTGCCACTTTAAATTAATGGTGCCAATATGGTGATTTTTTTGGTTTTTGGAGTGTTAGTCCAAATCACCATTTTGTAAACCCCTGACCCCCATCCCCTCCCCCCATTTTTGCAGACCTTTGTCAAAGTGAAACATTCCACGGGGGTTCGGGCTGTGAGAAACAGCCTGCCCAACTACCTGACTACAAAACGGACAAAGGCCCAACTAAAGAAACAACCCAATCATATTCTGCTGGAAGAAAGTGCAAAGAACACCACATTCCTGCGGGGGCGTGGCGGCTCACACCTATAATCCCAATACTTTGGGAGACGAGGCCAGTGGATCACCTGAGGGCAGGAGTTCCAGACCAGTTTGGTCAACATGGCGAACGAAACTCCTCTGTCTCTACTAAAAGTACAAAAATTAGCCGGGCGTGGTGGCGCCTGCCTGCAGTCCCAGCTACGGGGGAAGCTGAGGAAGGAAAATGACTTGAACTCAAGAAGCAGAAGTTGCAGTGAGCCGAAATCGTGCCACTGCACCCCAACCCGGGTGACAAAACAAGACTCCATCTCAAAAAAAAAAAAAAAGGGGGGGGGCGCAGACGCAGTGGCTTAGCCTGTAATCCCAGCACTTTCAGAGGCCGAGGTGGGCGGATCACGAAGTTAAGAGATCGAGACCATCCTGGCCAACATAGTGAAACGCCGTCTCTACTAAAAATACAAAAATTAGCTGGGCGTGGTGGGGGGACACCTATAATCCCAGCTACTCCGCAGGCTGAGGCAGGAGAATCGCTTGAACCTGGGAGGCGAAGGTTGTAGTGAGCCGAGATCGCGCCACTGCACTTCAGCCTGGTGACGGAATAAGAGTCCGTCTCAAAAAAACAAAAAACCACCACCACATTCCGCGGGAACAACGGCCAAGAACGGCCTTATCATGGGAAAATCTTATCAACATCCTGCAGGGCAGCAAGCCATATGGCCCAGACCCCTCCCGCCATACGTTTAAGTACCCCAGCGGTGGGCACTGGCTGGTTCCCTGCTTCTGTAGGTCTTAGTCTGGACCTAAAGCCTGCATTTGCTGTACAGCCGCCACTCGGTCTTTAACGCTCACTTTTCCTTCAGAATTTAACAAGGAGCTTATTCTTAAAATATGTGCCCAGTTACAGCCATAAAGGTATCATAGACAGGGAAATATGCTGCCCACGTTGGGCCTAATGCAGGCACCATGAGGATCAAGGTGCAGAGCATTGTTTTCTATTGGCTCACAAAGCTGACACGCCCACACTAATCCCATTAGTAATTTGAAGCCATCTGACGCTAGTGGTGTAATATTTTTTTACTTCTTTCTTTCTTGAGACAGGGGTCTCGCTATGCTGCCCAGGCTGGTCTCGAAATCCTGGGCTCAAGCTATCTGCCCGAAAGTGCTAGGATTACAGGCGTGACCCACCGCTCCGTTAAGCACTATTTTTAAAGCAATTGTTTGAGTGGTCGGTCGCAATCAGGGAATATGCTATTTTGTGTCGTGATTCCCTCACTTTTCGTTGTTCACAAGGTGTTGTTTTATCGTTGAGAAACAATTTTCAGTAAGTGGGGACAACACTCTCCTCCCCAAACACTTCCAGCGTTTTCTTGGGATCGGGAGACTAGACAAAACAGGGCGGCGACCGGCAGCTTCTTTCTCTCCGCCACAGTTGGCTCCCCGGCCCCGGAACCTAAGCCAATGGTGGTCACGCGCACGCCCCCGCCCGCCCCGCCCCCCGCGTGCACGCCCGTGCATGCCCCGCCCCGCCCCCCGCGTGCACGCCCGTGCATGCCCCGCCCCGCGGCGGAGACGCGCTCGCTGCGTCATCAGTGTTTTCGAGCCTAGTCCCGACGCTGCGGCTGACAGCTCCATTTTGTTGTCGTTGCCCGTCTCAGTCAGCTGGGTGATTCCCGTGATAGCGTTACAAGCTTTGTCTCCTTCGGCTTGGAGTCTTTGTCCAGGACGGTAAGACGCAGGAGGGAGCGGACTAGATGACAGGGCCGTTCCTGTGAGCCTCGCGGGCCTCTGGCGCTGCACCTTTGTCCCGGTTGTTAGCTGCTCCCAGTGCGCGGTGCGACCACTGCCTGCTGCCTTCACTCCCGGGCTGCACAATGGCGGCGCGCCCCTCTTTCCTGCGCGGCTGAGCCCGTGGCCGCCGGGTCCAGCCTGCCGGGGTAGTGACGGTGTTTGCTAGGCCGGCCGCCCCCTTGGAGCGTACCCCCTCCACAGAGGGAACGGCGCCGCCTGACGCGGGATAGCCCGGCGGGCGCCATGTTGTCGGCCGCCTCGGTCGAGCTGTAAGATGGCGGCTGGGCGGAGGCCAGCCTCGGTCACAGGGCGGAAAGGCGAGGCTCCCTGTTGGGGGTGGGGTTTGTTGGGATTCCAGAAAAACGCCGCTGTGGGGAAATGTTGTCTGCAGCTAGGGGAGAAAGAGAACCCATGGGGGTTACACTTAATGTCTAATGATTAAAGGGTCGGCGTAAACATCGCGAGTGGCTTTGTCCTCAGTGGCGTTAACAAAAACCAGATTAAGGGACCGGAGGAAAGAGAAATTACTGGGTGTATTTGAAGGAGCGTTGTGACAGAAGTCCGGTGACCGAGCATTTTATGCGATGGCGTTTCAGCCCACTCCCACTGGGTTAACAGTTGGAGGTTTTTTTTTTTTTTTTTTGAGACCGATTCTCTCTCTCGCCCAGGCTGGAGTGCCGTGGCGCGATCTTAGGTCACTGCAACCTCCGCCTCCCGGGTTCAAGCGATTCTCCTGCCTCAGCCTCCCGAGTAGCTGGGATTACAGGCGCCCGCCACCACGCCCGGCTAATTTTTTGTATTTTTAGTAGAGACGGGGGTTTTACCATATTGGTCAGGCTGATCTCGAACTCATGACCTCAGATGGTCCATTCGCCTCGGCCTCGCAAAGTGCTGGGATTACAGGAGTGAGCAACTGCGCTCAGCCTGCTTTTTTCTTTTTTGACACAAGGTATCGCCCTGTACGGAGTGCGCAATGATGGCTCACTGCAGCCTCGACTTCCAGGCTCAGGAGATCGCCCATTTAAGCCTCCTGAGTAGCTGGGACTACAGGCGCGCACCACCACCCCCGGTTTTTGTTGTTGTTGTTTTTTCCTATGTTGCCCTGGCTGGTCTCGAATTCCTGGGGTCAAGCAACGCTCTTGCTTCGGCCTTCAAAGTGCTGGGGTTCTGCGCCCGACCCAGTTTGAGTGCTTCAAAAATTGTACCCAGGCCGGTCCAATGGTAGTGGGTTATCAGAACTTACTAATATTAGTGTAACGAAAGTTGGTATACAACCCCCACCGCTGAATTTGACTGACTTAAAAAAAAAATTCGTAGGCCGGGCGCGGTGGCTCACGCCTATAATCCCAGCACTTTGGGAGGCCGAGGCGGGTGGATCACGAGGTCAAGAGATCGAGACCATCCTGGTCAACATGGTGAAACCCCGTCTCTACTAAAACTACAAAAAATTAGCTGGGCATGGTGGCGCGTGCCTGTAATCCCAGCTACTCAGGAGGCTGAGGTAGGAGAATTGCCTGAACCCAGGAGGCGGAGGTTGCGGTGAGCCGATATATATAATGTCTTTTTCAAGTTGTTAGAGATTTTAGATTGTTGGAAGCATTTTTGAAAAGAAGGTAGCTCCTACCATTCTCAAATTGTGTTAACGTTGCGTTTAGGATAAACTGTATCATAATAGTACGTGCTTGGGAGTGGTACCGGAAACATGGTGTTTTGTCGTTTTTCTATTCTGATGCCACCGTTGCCTTCATGTGTAATTAAAGTCTTTGGTAGTTTACCTGTTTACAGAAATAGTTTATAATGATTTTGTGTGATGATTCTATCTGCAACTCACGTACAACTCCGATTACGTTTGCAGTAGTCAGAGTAATGCGGTGTTGGTGAAGAACATTAATGATTGCGTTTGAGTTGGAGACTAGTTTCTGATACCCGTTTAAACTAGGAGAGTGACGTGTGGACTCTTACAGTGCATTTGTGCTACTGGCAGGGCAGAGGTGAAATTTACCAAAGTTAGTAAATTGTGATTGCTCCACTTGTTTAACTTTTTTACATTCTTCCAATAAATCTGGGCATGACATGGCTAATGCAGAGAGCGTGTGAATAAAGTTCAAACTCCAGTATATGGGACAACACAATTGGATTTATCAGTGATTTCAGATTGGGTGACAATGATTTTTGAATTTTGATTTTAAAAAAATTTAAGAGGTAACAAGGGGACCTTTGTAAATAAGAGTTTTAAACAGCTCGGTGTGGGATACAATTTAACTAGGAAAAACTTGCCTTTTGTGTAGATGAGACACTCAAAGAGAACTTACTGTCCTGATTGGGATGACAAAGATTGGGATTATGGAAAATGGAGGAGCAGCAGCAGTCATAAAAGAAGGAAGAGATCACATAGCAGTGCCCGGGAGAACAAGCGCTGCAAATACAATCACTCGAAAATGTGTGATAGGTAAGAAGGGTACTTAAAATGTCTGAATATAAAAATATATATATATATATATTTTTTTTTTTTTTGAGACGGAGTTTCACTCTTGCTACCCAGGCTGGAGTGCAATGGCGCGATCTCGGCTCACCGTAGCCTCCGCCTCCTGGGTTCAGGCAATTCTCCTGCCTCGGCCTCCTGAGTAGCTGGGATTACAGGCATGGGCCACCATGCCCAGCTAATGTCTTTTGTATTTTTTAGTAGAGACGGGGTTTCACTATGTTGACCAGGATGGTCTCGATCTCTTGACCTGGTGATCCACCCGCCTTGGCCTCCCCAAGTGCTGGGATTACAGGCCTGAGCCACCGCGCCCGGCCTAAAAATACATTTTTATGATAAAATTAGTATCACTTAAATACATGGTTACTGTTCCTTTGTGTTTCCAATGAGAGATTTCGGTGGTTTGTAATGTTTGTAAAATTGTGCTGGTTGTGGGGGAGTCTTAAGTGCTGTCTGAAAAGATTTACTGAGAATGTGAGGATATTTGGTCTTAGCATAAAAACATTGAAAATAATTTTTATTTCTCTAGCCATTATTTGGAAAGCAGGTCTATAAATGAGAAAGATTATCATAGTCGACGCTACATTGATGAATACAGAAATGACTACAATCAAGGATGTGAACCTGGATATCGCCATAGAGACCATGAAAGCAGATATCAGAACCATAGTAGCAAGTCTTCTGGTAGAAGTGGAAGAAGTAGTTATAAAAGCAAACACAGGATTCACCACAGTACTTCACATCGTCGTTCACATGGGGTATGAACGTTTTAAAAATATTTTGGAAATTTTATATCCCATGTGGAACAGAAAAACTTGAATTTTTGTGTTTATTTGAGAAAGTTTTAAGATGAAGCATCTCAGTTTTAATCTGCAGGATTTTTTTTAGTGTTTGTGCATTGGATAGGAACTTCCTGAAATAAAGTACACATTTAGTGTTATATTTAATTATTGTCTCCTAATTGGCATTCTAGTGAAATGGTGAAAGTTAATTTAGACTAGTTGAAACTGATTACTAAATATTCTAAAAGGTTTTTTATGATACTTCAAGAAATCTGGTTTTGATATATTGGAACCTTATCAGAAAAGTAGAACAGTCATTTTATTTTTGTATAATTTAGGATTAGGTATGCTTCTTTGTTCTAACAAGGCATGTTTTCTAACCCTTCTTTCACTAAGCAAACCAGAACAGATTTGAACCGTTACAAGTTATATATTAATTTGGAGATCAGCTCAGATGACGCTAAAAATGCCATAGTGTTGTTCTTGTATGCCAAATCTTTTTTCCCCCAAAATCAGCACTTTAATTTTATTTACTGTTATAGTATTTGTTTTCTTAGATTAGGTAGGAAGTCTTAATTAGGCCACCGTCTACTTTAACAAGTAAATATTACATCCTACAATTTTGCAACATTAAATTAGAACACTAGAAACTAAAAAATTATGTTTCAATGAATGCTACAAATAAGCATTTTTTTTTTTTTTTTTTTAAGAAAAACAATTGTATTATGTTTTGTTGCCTTGCCACTTTGAGTATCTTATCTGAAAATCTGTTCCTTGCCATGTTTTTCTCCTGTTAACATAAACTATGTGCCCTGTGAATTTCTGGGGACTGAATTTGAAATTGCTCCTGCCAACCGTTTGTGGCCTGGCGTGTATCTGAATGCCTGAATATCTCCCCGCTGAATGAATTTCGTATTCTGCCCTGAATTCACTCGGGTATATTGATTGGCTGGATGATCTTGGTGCGGCTCACTTGACGTTTCCAGAAGAGTCACCGAAGGAAAAGAACCAGGAGTGTAGAGGATGATGAGGAGGGTCACCTGATCTGTCAGAGTGGAGACGTACTAAGTGCAAGATGTATAGAATATTTTTCAACACTTATTAACTTTTCAGATAACATAATCTATATATAGATTAAGCTTTCAGGGATTTGGAAATCTTTTTTTCTTTCTCTTTTTTTTTTTTTGTTTTTTATTTTTCCATTTCTTTTGGTGGGGGGGATTGTATTTTTGCTTTCTTTAGAAATATAATGTTTGTTATACAGAACTTCGAGAACAGTAATCAAAATTAATGAAATTAGACCTAATAATTGTTTTTGATGGTGTTGACCAAAATAAAATAAATATCTAGTGATAAGGAAATTTGTAGCATCAACTAGAATAATCTACATTGATAGCATTTATTGTGATAAGTACATTGTTTGTACTTCTTGGTATGACTGAGATTTATTGCTCTCTTTTAGATGAAATTGTTGATACTTTAGGTGAAGGAGCTTTTGGAAAAGTTGTGGAGTGCATCGATCATAAAGTGTAAGTTTTCTATGTTGGGATTACATTTAGGGAGGTTGGCAATATGGGCAATTAATTTAGCTTTAGAAAATGATGTGACGGCTGGGTGTGGTGGCTCACGCTTATAATCCAAGCACTTTGGAGGCCAAGGCGGGCAGATCACCTGAGGTTGGGAGTTCAAGACCAGCCTGACCAACTTGGTGAAACCCCATCTTTAAAAAAAAAAAGAAAGAAAGAAAATGATCTGACCATGAGTTACATACATATACCTTTTTTACTTGGCTGTAAGAAATTTCAAGTTAGAAATACTTGTCCTTCATATTTTATTCTTTTTTTTTTTTTTGCAAATAGCCCTTCACATTTTTTAAATGGTTACTAATAGTATGTATAGCTTCTAATTTTAGGCTGAGAACACACTTTATGTTGTTTTGAAAGTATTCTTTGGCCGGGCGCAGTGGCTCACGCCTGTAATCCCAGCACTTTGGGAGGCCGAGGCAGGTGTATCACGAGGTCAAGAGATTGAGCCTATCCTGGTCAACATGGTGAAACCCCATCTCCACTAAAAATACAAAAATTAGCTGGGCGTGGTGGCACACACCTATAGTCCCAGCTACTCAGGAGGCTGAGGCAGGAGAATTGCTTGAACCTGGGAGACAGAGGTTGCAGTGAGCCAAGATCGCGCCACTGCACTCCAGCCTGGGGCCTGGCAATAGAGCGAGACACTGTCTCGGGAAAGAAAAGGGGAAAAAAAAAAAAAAAAAGGAAGTATTCTTTTTTTGTCCTGCCAGACACCATTGTTAGGCTATACTGCTTCCCACCCCATATGAGTGGTTCTAAGCCTTGGTTCCCCCTGCCCCCTGCCCCAAGTCCAACTCAGTGATTTGAAGAGCCTTGGTTTTATGTTAAGGGCGTTGCCTACCCCAAACCTTTTCAGGGTAGTTACCTAGTACCCTCTATACATACATTTTTAGGAAGTGCCATAATTCATTCTGATAATACAGCCAGGGATAACTCCTATAGATTGGTGTCCCAATTTAATTATGTATGTCCATCAAACTACTGATTGAATTTTTTTTTCCTCCTCCCCCCCCCTTCAAGATGGAGTCTTGCTCTGTCACCCAGGGTGGATCCCAGGTGACAATGGCACGATCTCAGCTCACCGCAACTTCTGCCTCCTGGGTTCAAGCAATTCTCCTGAATAGCTGGGACTATAGACATGTGCCACCATGCCCAGCTGTGTTTTCTATTTTTAATAGAGAAGGGGTTTGACTGTGTTGGCCAGGCTGATCTCGAACTCCTGACCTCATGATCTGCCCACCTTAGCCTCCCAAAGTGCTGGGATTACAGGCATGAGCCCCCAGCTCCAGCCATGAAATTTCTTTAGTATAGAATATTTTTCCGTTACCTTTTTTTCAGTTTCCTGTTTGTTGTTATTGTTCTTCCTCTTCCTAAGGTGGCAAAGCATTTTTGAGGAGGCTTCCTACTATTGGTTGGTAAGGACATGAGAAGTAGAGCTCTTTTTCTTTTTCTTCCTGAGACACGGGGTATTGTTCTGTTTTCCAGGCTGGAGTGCAGTGGTGCAATCTTAGTTCACTGCAACCTCTGCCTCCTAGGTTCAAGCAGTTCTCCCACCTCAGCCTTTCAAAAAGCTAGGATTGGCCAAGGCGGGCGGATTGCTAGGTAAAGAGATCGAGACCATCCTGGCCAACATGGTGAAACCCTGGCTCCACTAAAAATACAAAAATTAGCTGGACATGGTGGCGCGTGCCTGTAGTCCCTGCTACTCAGGACGCTGAGGCAGGAGAATTGTTTGAACCCAGGAGGCAGAGATTGTAGTCAGCTGAGATTGTGCCACTGCACTCCAGCCTGGCACCTGGCGACAGAGCAAGACTCTGTCTCAAAAAAAAAAAAAAAAAAAAAAAGCTGGGATAACAGGCACGTGCCACCACGCCTAATTTTCGTATTTTTAGTAGAGACTGGGTTTCATCAAGTTGGCCAGGCTGATCTTGAACTTCTGACCTCAAGTGATCTGCCCACTTAGGCCTCCCAAAGTGCTGGGATTACAGGCATGAGCCCCTAGAGCTCTACTTTGCCCCTGCTGTAACCTAACACTCCTGCCAACCTGGACTAAAAGAACATTTGAGATAATGTATGACTGTGACAGGTACCATATAGGAAGAAGTTGTTTAGCTGAAGGACCAAAAAATAACTCATGTGAATGCATAGTTTGATGAAATTTGTGGCTGAGTACAGTGGCTCACGCCTGTTGTTCCAGCACTTTGGGAGGCTGAGGTGGGTGGATAGCCTGAGGTCAGGAGTTAAAGACCAGCCTGACCAACACAAAGAAACCCCATCTCTACAAAAAATACAAAAAATTAGCTGGGCATGGTGGCACATGCCTGTAGTCCCAGCTTCTCAGGAGGCTGAGGCAGAAGAACCGCTAGAAGCCGGGAAGTGGAGGTTGCAAGGAGCAGTGATTGTGCCACGGCACTCCAGCCTGGGTGACAGAGCGAGACTCCATCTCAAAAAAAAAAAAAAGTTAGCGTCATTCAGTATGTAATACAATCAGTCAGAAACTGAACACTAAGCCATAAATTCAAGAAAGCAAATACAGTGGGTCAGAGTAGAGGTAATAGAGTTTGAAGACCGTGATAACTGGAATTGAATATCCTGTCTATCATTCTTAAATTTACATGCATTCTTTCTAACAGGGGAGGTAGACATGTAGCAGTAAAAATAGTTAAAAATGTGGATAGATATTGTGAAGCTGCTCGCTCAGAAATACAAGTTCTGGAACACCTGAATACAACAGATCCCAGCAGTACATTGTAAGTATAAGATTGGAACCTAGGAAGCGGTCTCATGTGTATTTAAATTAGGAGCAACTGTACTTAGTTACTATTTTTCATGTGTTTGTAGCCGCTGTGTCCAGATGTTGGAATGGTTTGAGCATCATGGTCACATTTGCATTGTTTTTGAACTACTGGGACTTAGTACTTATGACTTCATCAAAGAAAATGGTTTTCTACCATTTCGACTGGATCATATCAGAAAGATGGCATATCAGATATGCAAGTCTGTGAATTGTAAGTTCTTGGCATAGCTTTGTTAATTTATTAGTTTTATTCATTTTGCAAAATACATCAAAAGGTACACCATAAGTATGTACAATTTTTATTTGATTAAAAATAGAGGAAGAAGAAGAGTAGGTATGAAGGAACTTGATTACAGGCTGTTGATCAGCAGTGTACATTTCATTCAGTAAATAGGATATCCAGCATATAGCATACTATGTTGCAGACTATGATTTATATTTCCTGATGCGTAAAAGTAGTAACTTCAAATGCTGGGTAAAAATTAAGGCGTGGTATATCATAAAAGAAAGCTTCATGACCCCGTGCATTGGCACAGGCTGGTAATCTCAGCACTTTGGAAGGCTGAGGTGGGTGGATCGTGAGGTCAGGAAATAGAGACCATCCTGGCTAACATGGTGAAACCTCATCTTTCCTAAAAATACAAAAAATTAGCTGGGTGTGGTGGCACATGCCTGTAATCCCAACTACTCAGGAGGCTGAGCCATGAGAATTGCTTGAACCCAGGAGGCAAGGTTGCAGTTGAACTGAGATTGTGCCACTGCACTCCAGCCCGGGTGACAGTGTGAGACTCCATCTCAAAAAAAAAAAGAGAAAGAATCACCAGTAACTAAAACTCACTAGCCTCTTTAAAAAAAATCCACCGACAGCAAAATACTTAAAAAGCCAAGAAGGAAAAAAAATTTCCTCTTGCGAAACTTTTTTAGATGGAGTCTCGCTCTGTCACCCAGGCTGGAGTGCCATGGCGCAATCACTACTCCTTGCAACCTCCACTTCCCGGCTTCAAGCGGTTCTTCTGCCTCAGCCTCCTGAGTAGCTGGGACTACAGGCATGTGCCACCATGCCCAGCTAATTTTTTGTATTTTTAGTAGAGATGGAGTTTCACTGTGTTAGCCAGGATGGTCTCAATCTCCTGACCTCATGATCCACCCAGCTCAGTCTTCCAAAATGCTGGGATTACAGGCATGAGCCATTGCACCCAGCCAAGTTACTGGTGATTTTCTAGCATACAGGAATGTTGTTGACCACTCTTCTTAGGGCATATGAGAAAGGAATCAAGTTTTTGTGGTGGGGTTTTATGTTTTGGCATTTTCTGATTACAGCAACTTTCTCTTTATTATTCTCAGTTTTGCACAGTAATAAGTTGACTCATACAGACTTAAAGCCTGAAAACATCTTATTTGTGCAGTCTGACTACACAGAGGCGTATAATCCCAAAATAGTAAGTCTTCCAATATATTCATAAAGTATCTTACGCCTTAATAGCTATTTCTTCTTAACCATCATTTGTGATTTTCAGAAACGTGATGAACGTACCTTAATAAATCCAGATATTAAAGTTGTAGACTTTGGAAGTGCAACATATGATGATGAACATCACAGTACATTGGTATCTACAAGACATTATAGAGCACCTGAAGTTATTTTAGGTGAGTGTTGCTCTTTGAGAACCTTTGTATTTCCTTATTGAGACTGACTGAAGTTTTTTTGCAGTTTTAGGTCTTAGTTGTGGGGCTTTATCATTTTCTCTTTAAGAGATAAGTACCATAGGCTGGGCGTGGTGGCTCACACCTGTAATCCTCACATTTTGGGAGCCTGAGGCAGATGGAAAATGAGGTCAGGCGTTCAAGACCACCCTGGCCAACATGGTGAAACCCCATCTCTACTAAAAATACAAAAATTAGCTGGGTATGGTGGCGCTTTTTTGTAATCCCAGCTACTCGCGAGGCTGAGGCAGGAGAATTGGTTGAAACAGGACCCAGAATGTGGAAGTTGCAGTGAGCCTAAATCGTGCCACTGCACTCCAGCCTGGGCTAGAGTGAGACTGTCTCAAAAGGAAAAAAAGGTAAGTATCACGAAGTGCATTAAGGATTTTAAGCTCTCAGTTGTGCCAGATAGTTAGCTCTGGGAATTTGAGCAAGTGGCTTAACCTTTCTGAAATTGTTTTCACATTTGCATTATTTATTTTTTAGACAAACTTGCTCTGTCACCCAGTCTGGAGTACAGTGGTGCGATCTTGGCTCACTGCGTTCTCCGCCTCCTGGGTTCAAGCAATTCTGCTTCAGCCTCCTGAGTAGCTGTGATAACAGGCACCCGCCACCATGCCCAGCTAATTTTCATTTTTTTAAAAAATAGAAATGGGGTCTCACTATGTTGCCCAAGCTGGTCTTGAATTTTTGAGCTCAAGCAGTTCTCCCATCTTGGCCTCCCAGAGTGCTGGAATGACAGGCGTGAGCCACTGTGCCCACCCTACATCACATTTTTTTTTTAAAGTAGTATTAGGGGCCAGGCACGGTGACTCACACCTGTAATCCCAGCACTGGGAGGCTGAAGCTGGTGGATCATGAGGTCAAGAGAAAAGACCATTCTGGCCAACATGGTGAAACCCCTGTCTCTACTAAAAATACAAAAATTAGCTGGGTGTCGTGGCACGCACCTGTCGTCCCAGCTACTGGGGCAGCTTAGGCAGTAGAATTGCATGAACCCGGGAGGCGGAGGTTGCGGTGAGCCGAGATTGCGCCACTGCTGCACTCTAGCTTGCCGACAGAGCAAGACTCCATCTACAAAAAAAAAAAAAAAAGTATTGTTAACTTTTAATATCTTTAACAAATATTGAGGATTTTTTTTCCTTACATTTTGCTTTGCTTTGCAGCTCTAGGGTGGTCCCAACCTTGTGATGTCTGGAGTATAGGATGCATTCTCATAGAATACTATCTTGGGTTTACCGTATTTCCAGTAAGTAACAATGATCTGTTTATATGAATAAATACTTTAACTCAAAGTATACATAGACATTTAGATAGCTTCCTCCCCTAAGCATAAATAAAAATGAAACTATATTCTTTCATAATTGTTTCATTCGACACATCTTTAGGTATATAAGCAGTTATCCTTGTCCATGTAGAGAAATGATTTCTGCAAGGCCCAATACTAGTTTTTTGCTGTCTGTTTTGGTGGTCATCTTCCCCAAGTTTGTTTTTATTTCTAGACACACGATAGTAAGGAGCACTTAGCAATGATGGAAAGGATTCTTGGACCTCTACCAAAACATATGATACAGAAAACCAGGTACGTTTTAAGAGTTAGTGACATCCTTAGTATCATTTGATCATATCTTCTGATTAGAACTTAATTTTTTAAAAAATTTTTCACTGTAAGTCTCAAGAGCCGATTAGGACTTTATAAATAAGTCAAACTAATATTTTGCAGTTAAATAGCAGATTACCTTGGTGCAAAAGCAGGTATCAATTCTTATCCCATGGCCGCCATTTAAATCTCTAGAAAAGTAATCTGGGAAGGCATAGTAATTGATAACTTTGCTAGCTATTTTCAGTGTTATAAACATGAATGGATATTGATTTATTTTTAGGAAACGTAAATATTTTCACCATGATCGGTTAGACTGGGATGAACACAGTTCTGCTGGCAGATATGTTTCAAGGCGCTGTAAACCTCTGAAGGTAAGCCTCTGAGACATTGCTGAAATAGTCAAAACTTGTAGTTTGTTTTTTGAGACAGAGCCTCACTTCATTGCCTAGGCTGGAGTAGAATAGCACGATTGTGGCTCAGCTCACTGCAGCCTCTGCATCCCAGGTTCAAGAGAGTCTGTCTCCTGAGTAGCTGAGATTATAGATGAGGTCACCGTGCCCAGCTAAATTTTTTTGTTTGTTTGTTTTTTTAAGTAAAGATGGGCTATGTCTTTGGTAGACAGGCTGTGTTGGCCAGGCTGGTCTTCAACTCCTGCCCTCAAGTGATCTGCCCACCTTGGCCTCCCAGAGTGGTGGGATTGTAGATATGAGCCACCATGCCTGGCCTCTTTTCTGGTGGAGAAATAACTATATTAAATGGTAGTGGAAAAGGCTATTTAATGAATTGTTTTTTTCTTCCAGGAATTTATGCTTTCTCAGGACGTTGAACATGAGCATCTCTTTGACCTCATTCAGAAAATGTTGGAGTATGATCCAGCCAAAAGAATTACTCTCAAAGAAGCCTTAAAGCATCCTTTCTTTGACCTCCTGAAGAAAACTGTATAGATGTATAATTGTACAGCCCTCTTGAGGAGATCTTATAGACTGTATCAGTCTAATTTTTAAATATTAAATTATTTTGTACAGCTTTGTAAATTCTTAACATTTTTATATTATTACCATGTTTATTTTGTTTGGGTAATTTGATTCATTAAGTATATAGCTAAGTAATTCAGTAATTGTAAAGTGATTTATTCAGAATAAATTTTTTGTGCTTATGAAGATGATAACATATCTGAACAGTTTGTTCTAAGTACTGTTTTTCTTTCTTTCTACCTCTATTACATTAAAGAATGGACATAGATTTTTTTTTTTTTTTTTAAGAGATTTCCTCAAGTCTTTCTTCGGGAAAATTTAGCTTCACTTCCATTTTAGGGATTGTCAAAATTGACAATTACTGCTCTCAAGTTTAATGAAACCAGATTATAGCACACACAAAACTAAAGATTAGCCAAGAAGGGTTTTGTCTTTATTCCTACTCAAACTTAGTGTTGCAGTTTGCTGTTGATTGTTGCACAGGATCTTAGTCATTTGCAAAATCCCACCGTGGTGGAGCCTCCACTCCTTTGCACCCTAGTCTGAATTATTAAGTGAGTATGTGTAATGTGGCAAATTTAGATCTTTCCAGTTGTTTTTTTGGTTTGGAGAGTTTTGGGGGGTTTTCTTTTTAGACATTTTAAAATGCTGGCCAGGTGCAGCTTATAATCTCATCACTTTGGTAGGCTGAGGTAGGCAGATCGTTTGAGGCCAGGAGTTCGAGACCAACCTGGCCAACATGGTGAAATCCCATTGCCACTAAAAAAGCTGGGTGTGGTGATGTGCCTGTAAACCTAGCTACTTGCGGTGCTGAAGCTTGAGAATAGCTTGAACCTGGGAGGCAGACTGCAGTGAGCCAAGATGGTGTCACTGTACACCAACCTGAGTGACAGAATGAGACTGTCTTTTTAAAAAAAAAAAAAAAATGCAATTAGGCCCGAGAGATTATTTAATAAAGACGGGGTTTCACCATGTTGGTCAGGCTGGTCTTGAACTCCCAACCTCAGGTGATCCGCCCGCCTTGGCCTCCAAAGTGCTTGGATTACAGGTGTGAGCGACCACGCCTTGCCAGGCCTGAGAGATTTTTTAAGCAGATAGTCTTGCTCGGTTGCTCAGGCTGGAGTGCAGTGGTGTGATCGTGGCTCACTGCAACTTCTGCCTCCTGGGTTAAAAGTGATTCTTGAGCCTTAGCCTCCCGAGTAGCTGGGATTACCGGTATGCGCCGTCATGCCTGGTTAATTTTTGTGATTTTAGTGGAGATGGGGTTTCACCATGTTAGCCAGGCCAGTCTTGGAACTCCTGACCCCAGGTGATCCAGCTGCCTTGTCCTCCCAAACTGCTGGGATTTACAAGCCTCAGCTGTGGCTCCTGGCCTGAATCCTAAATTTTGTGTTACGGTTGTAAGCGGTGGTACGGATAATCATTTGTACCAATGAGAGTCAAAAGTACATTAGTTACATGTTTGACTAAAATGTATTAGATTGGATTGACTTAAACCTTAAGGGCCTATATTTTCTTAGGTTTAAAAGGCAGGCAGTTCCAGTCTTTAAGGCTTGTTTCTCAGAAATGGTGTCCAGAGCGAATCTGCTAACATCCCATTTGTCAAGTCACATGGCTTGACCCAGAATCATGGGAGGGTACTGCAAGGTTGTAGGGCAAAAGATGTGGAGAATTTGGGCCATCAAGGCAATCAGTTTACCCACCCTACCTATCCCCAATCTATTAACATAGCAGCCAAAGTGAGCCTGTTTATCACTCATCTCAAAATCTCCAATCATTTGATCCAGCAATCTGACTACTGTACTCTTCCTTGTCAACTCCATTTACATCCTCTTCTCTGCTTCCCTCCACCCCCATTCATAAGAGTTTTTACTGGGGTAGGGTGAGGTAGCTCTTTCCTGTAATCCCAGCATTTTGGGAGGCTGAGGCGGACTGATAGCTTAAGTCCAGGAGTTCAAGACCAGCCTGGGCAACATGGCAAAATCCCATCTCTACAAAAAACAGAAAAATTAGCTGGCTGCGGTGGCACGCATCTGTAGTCTCAGCTACTTGGAGATGCTGAGGTGGGAGGATAGCTTGAGCCTGGGAAAGCAGTGGTTGCAGTGAGCTGAGACCATGCCACTGCATTCCAGCCTGGGTGACACAGTAAGATCCCATCTCCCAAAAAAAGTTTACTGGCCAGATGCAGTGGCTTATGCCTATAATCCCAACACTTTGGGAGGCTGAAGCATTGCTTGAGCCCAGGAATTCGAGACCAGCTTGGGCAATATAGGGAGATCCTGTCTCTGAAAAAAAATTTAAAAATAGTCAACCAAAAGAGAGCCCACATAGCCAAGTCAATTCTAAGCAAAAAGAACAAAGCAGGAGGCATCACACTACTGGACTTCAAACTATACTACAAGGCTACAGTAATCAAAACAGAATGGTACTGGTACCAAAACAGATATAGACCAATGGAACAGAACAGAGGCCTCGGAGGCAACACATCTACAACCATCCGATCTTTACAAAGCTGACAAAAGCAATGGGGAAGCCGGGCGCGGTGGCTCAAGCCTGTAATCCCAGCACTTTGGGAGGCCGAGGCGGGTGGATCACGACGTCAAGAGATCGAGACCATCCTGGTCAACACGGTGAAACCCCGTCTCTACTAAAGCTACAAAAAATTAGCTGGGCATGGTGGCGCATGCCTGTAATCCCAGCTCCTCAGGAGGCTGAGGCAGGAGAATTGCCTGAACCCAGGAGGCGGAGGTTGCAGTGAGCCGAGATTGCGCCATTGCACTCCAGCCTGGGTAACAAGAGCGAAACTCCATCTCAAAAAAAAAAAAGCAATGGGGAAAGGAGTCCCTGTTTAATAAATGGTGTTGGAAAAACTGGCTAGCCATGTGCAGAAAGCAGAAACTGGACCCCTTCCTGACACCTTACACTAAAATTAACTCCAGATGGATTAAATACTTCAACATAAGACCTAACACCATCAAAACCTTAGAAGAAAATCTAGGCAAAACCATTCAGGACATAGGTGTAGGCAAGGACCTCATGACCAAAACACCAAAAGCATTGGCAACAAAAGCCAAAATAGACAAATGGGACCTAATCAAATGCCACAGCTTCTGCACAGCAAAAGAAACAGTCACTAGAGTGAATTGGCAACCAACAGAATGGGAAAAAATTTTTGCAGTCTACCCATCTGACAAAGGGTTGATATCCAGAATCTACAAAGAACTAAAACAGATTTACAAGAAAAAAACAAACACGTGAGCATGAATGCAGAAGACACTGAGCTTAGGATGGTAGCTACAACTTTTCTGGCAAAAAATAAGAAGATAATGCAACAAGCGTCCATTTTTTAAAAAGGAAAAATGGGGCATTAGAGGTTTTGTGACTCTAGCAATATGTTTCTCTTTTCTGAATTGTTACTCATTACTGTCAATCACCACTCTATCCTAGAACTCTAGATCCTGTTATTTGAATTTCCAAATGTAAATGAAAAAATATATGCCTCTTCAATCCAAAAAAAAAGAAAAAAACAAACATTCAAAAGTGGGCAAAGGATATGAACAGACACTTTACAAAAGCATACATACATGAGGCCAACAAACATATGAAAAAATGCTTATCATCACTGGTCATTAGAGAAATGCAAATCAAAACCACATTGAGAAACCACCTCATGCCAGATAGAATGGCGATCATTAAAAAATCTGGAGATAACATGCTGGAGAGGATGCGGAAAAATAGTAACACTTTTACACTGTTTTTGGGAGTGTAAATTAGTCCAACCATTGTGGAAGACAGTGTGGTGACTCCTCAAGGACCTAGAAATAGAAATTCTATTTGACCCAGCAATCCCATTAGTGGGTATATATCCAAAGGATTATAAATCATTCTACTATAAGGACACATGCACACGAATGTTCACTGCAGCACTGTTTACACTAGCAAAGACCTGGAACCAACCCAAATGCCCATTGATGATAGACTGGACAGGGAAAATGTGGCACATATACGCCATGGAATATTATGCAGCCATCAAAAACGATGAGTTCGTGTCCTTTGTAGCGACATGGATGAACCTGGAAACCATCATTCTCAGCAAACTGACACAAAAACAGAAAATCAAACACCAAATGTTCTCACTCATAGGCGGGTGTTGAACAATGAGAACACATGGACACAGGGAGGGGAGCATCACCCACTGGGGTCTGTTGGGGGGAAATAGGGGAGGGACAGCAGGGGGTGGGGGGTTGGGGAGAGATAACATGGGGAGAAATGCCAGATAATAGGTGAAGGGGAGGAAGGCAGCAAATCACACTGCCATGTGTGTACCTATACAACAATCTTGCATGTTCTTCACATGTACCCCAAAACCTAAAATGCAATTTAAAAAAGTTAAAAAAAAATAGTCAAGTGTGTTGGCATGCATCTGTAGTCTCAGCTGCTTGAGACCTGAATTAATGGGCTCAAGCAATTCACCTGGGGGTGGTGGCTCATACCTGTAATCCCAGTACTTTAGGATGCTGATGCAGGCAGATCACTTGAGTTCAGGAGTTTAAGACCTCACTGAGCAATATGGTGAAACCTCACCTCTACTAAAAACACAAAAGTTAGCCAGGCATGGTGACACTCACCTGTAGTCCCAGCTACTTGGGAGGCTAAGGTGGGAAGATCACTTGAGCCCAGGGAGGCAGAGGTTGCAGTGATCTTAGATCATGCCACTGCACTCCAGCCTGAGTGACAGAATGAATGAGACCCTGTCGCAAAGCAATTCAGCCAGACGCTGTGGCTCACGCCTGTAATCCCAGCACATTGGGAGGCCGTGGCGGGCAGATCACCTGAGGTCAGGGGTTCAAGACCAGTCTGGCCAACATGGTAAAGACCTGTCTCTACTAAAAATACAAAAATTAGCTGGGTGTGGTGGTGCATGCCTGTCATCCTAGTCACTTTGGGAGGCTGAGGCAGGAGAATCGCTTGAACCTGGGAAGTGGAAGTTGCAGTGAGATGAGATCATGCCACTGCACTCCAGCCTGGGTGGCAAAGTGAGACTCTGTCTTAAAAAAAAAAAAAAAAAAAAAAGCAATTCACCAGCCTCAGTTACTATAAGAACATGCCACCACGCCCAGCTTTGAGAATATGTGTCTTCCACCTGAGGGGCCAGAGATAGAGCTATTTATACACCAACCCCTGTC